TGGAGTGAGTTTATAAAAAACATTTTTTTACTAATTTTATGTGTTCAAAAATATATAGTTTATCTTGAAAATGTTAATACAAGTATTAGTATAACTCGCAATACTATGCAACTAGCATGCAATTCATTAGATGATAGTAATATTGAGATTCGAATTGAGTGTTTTATACAAAATTTTGAAGAATGTTATAAATTACTAGCTACTAAAATGTGTAATACAAATACTTATCAAATTATTTTACTTGATGAGTATTTACCACAAAATAAGTATGAACGATAGAACTTTATTAAAAATTTGCAGTTAGACACAACAATTATGATTTATCGATATTATCATGGTAATTATCTTGGAACCTTAAATTTTATATGGTATGTTCTTCTTAATCCTAATGAAAGATCAGATAATTTACAAGCAAAAGCTATAATTGAAATTCAAGAACAATTGCCATATTATTTTACTCAAGAAATGCGAAAAAATATATTTGCAAAGGTATTATTCTATTATATTAACTATTTAAATTAACTTTTAAGATTAAATTATATATTTTTATAGTATGCATTTCTATCTCGAATTACACCAAATATTTTATGATTATTATATTATGATCTAACTAGAGATATGAGTGCTAGTGCAAGTGAAAAAACAAAACAAATAGACGAGAGACTCAAACTTATGTTAGAATTAGATGATTCAGAAATTGTTGTTGATCTTCGAATTAATAATGGATTTAAAGGCACAAAGTTTGATATATTTTGGGAAGAAGTTGCAATATATTTTGAGGAGGTTAGATTTTTATCTATTTTTTGTATTATAAACTAATTATATTATTTTTAAATTTAAATATATTTTAGAATACACCAGCAGTTCAAGATCATCATTATGAAAATATACTTTATATGCCACTTTTTATTTCAGTTCGAGATTTAAAAGATACTATAGTATTAAGACTAAAACAAAAAAAAGAAAAAAATTTAATTGATGATTATTTAGTTCCATCTGAACATTGGATTGCATTACAATTTTATCCAAAAAATCCATAGGCAAATTCAAGTATAAATCATGTAGGGCATTTTGAAATTAAGTATAAAATTCAAGCATGACAACTTAGAAAATCACATCCTGATGTTCATTTTTGTTATGCTATATTTAAGTATCTTCATTATTTTGCAGTAAAATTTAAACTATATAGTGTATTAATGTTTGCTGATGATAAACATAAAGTGCCAATTGGTGAAGATATTTTAACATCAACTGGAGTTTGTAACAAACATGTAGCTGTACCTTTGACAACTACATTAAGTGCAAGTGATCATAACTTTACAAAATTATCACTAACACCATCAGTAGTATTGCTAGTTACAATACCTGAAGAATCTACAGATTCATTTTATAACGGACAAGTTTTTGTTGCATATAAAGATACTATTTTTCAACCAAGCTCAGCTCTTCAACATGCTACAGAATTTTATAATAATTTAACCTTTTTTATAATAAGTTATTGCCTAAAATTTTATTAATTTATACAGATGGTAGGCCAGATCATAGATGTACTTTTGGTTCAGTTCAGATTTCTTTAATATGTCTTTTTCTTAAAGGTAATTTTGATATGCTAATAGCTGCTAGAACTGCTTCATATCATAGTTGAGCAAATCCAGCAGAACAAATTATGTCAATAGTTAATCTTGCATTACAGGATGTAGCTTTGCAATGTAATAAAATGAGTAAAATTTCTGAATTAGAATTTAGTCAACTTAAAACATTAGAAGCTATTCGTCAACAAGCTACTAATAATCCAAAATTAAAAAAAGAATTACAAATATCAATTGAAGATATTCAAAAAATTTTAAATGAAAGAACACAACACCTTAAACTTCATGATGATTATTTTCTTACTGGCAATACTGCTACAGATAAAGAAATTGAAGAATTTTTTAAGGCATTTATTTTTTAATCTTTATAATTAAAAATATACTACTTTAATTACTATATATATATTTTTAGGCTATTCTTATAGTTGATCCAAGTCTTGAACCAACTATGACAACTTTAAATTCACTAAAAAAACTACAACTTTATAATAATTTTCTAAAAACTCATTGTCAAATTCGAACCTATACCTTTCAAGTTAAAAAATGTACTGATAATAAATGTTATATATGCCAACCTATTCGAATGCCACTTGAACAGTTTGAAACTTTATTTTTTTTATCTGATCCTGAACTTTCTGTAGGTATGATTATACATATCTAAAAATTTAAAGTTTCATATTTTAATTAAAAAATTTCACTATATACATAGATAAAGAATATTATAAAGAGTTTGATGAAATATATGGACAATCAACAAATGAAGAATATCGGTTATCACAACAAGAAATTACTAATGAAGAATCTCATGCAGGAAAATTTATAAATACAAAGATTTGACTTCTAGTTTGCTGTGATTTTTATGGGAAATATCACTACATTTATAGTGATACATCTTTAAATGAAGATGATTCAGAAATAATTATACAATACCTTGAAAATATTTCATATAGCTGTGGATTACTATTTCTTCCAGATGAACATCTACTTTCTGATCAACTCTATATACATCAAGATATTACCTGTGATTCACCTATTGAACGAAATTATTATTCATGTCATATAAAAGATGTTGACTTATGTTATTGGTGTGATGCAGAAGATAGTATTTTAGATCCTTCAGATGAGTTAAAATCACAATTTAAAACTATTTACCCACTTTGTTTCTCATGTAATACTGATGGCCATGAATGGTCTACTCATGCACCAAAGGTGTTTAAAAACAAAAACAAAAAAATTCGCTATTAATATATATTCTAAAATTTATATAAATTATCAATAAATTCAAATATTATTTGAGTGAAATCGATTTTGAAATCATGTTTATTTTTATGTTTGTTTAAATTTATCCCCCCCCCTCATTTCTGTATATAAAATATTGACGTTAACATAACAATCAACTTGGAATGGCCTAAATGTGTACAAGGTTGGTGGTGAAGACTAAATTATTAAAATTTGTTAAAGTTAGGGTTATGGTCAAAATTATGATCTAGTGAGAGCTAGTTTATGCAGTAAAATTGTTCAATGAAAACTTTTTGTTAGAGCACAAAAGGTGGTTTCTTATGCTAATTTTTGAGTCATAAGCAATTTTTGGCAGAATGAACATTTGTTTTTGAATCTTTCTGATCATGTTACATTACACCTAATCTTGAAATCTGATTGTAGTTCAGGAGATCTGCACCACCCATCTTGTACAATTTACAATGTGCATTATTTTTTAATATTTATTTTAGGGGATTGCTACAGACACAGCTTATTGACACAGCAAATGACCAGCACTAACTTTAACGACACAGCATGGCCTGCATCATAGTTAAGGTTAGTGTTAGAATATGGCAGAATTAGGGAATTAATCACGTGCTGCTGTGTCCGTAGCAATCCACTTAATTTTAATTGGTGATATCTTATGATCTGATGATCAGAATCGAACGATTTTGATACCATTTGATTCATCGTATCAAAACGAATCAAATGGACCAAAATCGTTCCATTCTGATCGATATATCACATGTAGAGATTGGCATATCGCGGTTTTTCAAAAAATCCCGCACGTGACGCGCGGGATCCACGCAAGATTCGTATCCCGTGCAGGATTCATTAAATCTAGGTGCCGCGAGGTTGAACCTCAATTTTGATCGGCCAACGGCTGTGATCGACAAAAGTTTGGCCGCATTATACATAATTTTAGCCGGAGTTTAATTTTTTAATTGTTTAAGGTTTGGGTCTGTGTAATGGTAAAATTAACCAAGGAACTTATTTCACTTAGGGTTGAAAATTACATTTTACAAATTTACAATACATGTAATTTCACGGGATATATAATACCTAGAGATGGGCAAATCGCGGTTTCTTCAAAAATCCCGCGCGGGATTCATTAAACCAAAAAATTTTAAACCTTAATTTCACTTAATGGGCGGCCACGATTTCTTTACTAAAAATTTGAGTAATTTTGCCTAAATTTTTGATCGTTACCATTGGTCAATCAAAATAATGAATTTCCACATATTTTTTGCAAGGTTTAATAACAGTAATTACATTAAGCACGTTCTTGGTTAAAGGTTTCATCTGATCTAATTTTTGTAAGATGATTCCAAATATTATTATTATTATGCATTTTATTTATTTTTAGAAGAATGACTTAATCATAAAGAATATTTTTGTAATGTAAGTGAAAGATACCAACGACAAAGAATGTAAATTCTTATCGTATACATAAATAAACATATGTGTGAAATGGTATGCAAATAAATAATAAATTTTAATTAGGAATTAGCTAAACATGTTAATGCAGGTCAGATATTATATTAATGCTAGCCAGATATTATGTTAATGCCGGCCAAATAATCTTAGGATCATATTAAAAATCCCGCGTGTGCCCATCTCTAATCACATGTTATCGATAGTAATACTTACCTGCGCATACTTATACACGATCAAATTAGGATATTAATTATACTTTTTTTTATTTTATAAATTTTCTATATAAAATTTTGATGGGCAAAAATGCGCATGATTCAGGTTTCATGCGCACGCATGATACCCATCTCTAGTTTCGCCCAGTTTCGGACGTTTCGGACTTGGGATCTTGGGCGAAACTAGGCTTCGGAGGTTTCGGAAGTTTCGCCTGGCCGAAAGTTTCGGTTTAGGCCGTAACACTAGTCGTGACTTTAATAGTACGAGAATAATATACAATACGTGAAAACTATGATCACGCTGACCAATCGGAAATTCATAAATTGTCGGATAACTATATATTATATGACAATTTTTGACCCATTGATTAAGACGTTTGAGAACGTTCTTAATTAATTACTTAATAGCACTTTAGTAAGTAAGAGAATAAAGGATTGCTCATATATGAGAACGTTTGATTTCTATTACTGTATAATGAACTAAAACATTGCTTTTAGTCCATCAAAGCTTGTTAATTTGAAATAAAACAGATGAATATAAAACAGCTGAACAGTAAAAAAAATTGAACCAATTTTTTTTTGATACATTAATGGCAAGACAACTTCCCACAATTAGCGCATGAGACACGATAGCCATAGTCACAAGTATTGCCTGTTCCACGTTGGCATTCATATACATGGTTGGGGATACATCCTAGAAAAGAAACCAGAAAGGTTCACCATCAGTGATATAGTTACATTCACGGATCTCATATTAAGAAATAAAACGTTTCCTTAATAAAATATTTTTAAAAAAGCCACGATAACATAAAATTATGTACATGATGTTATTTTTTGATTCTAGATGGATTTTACATTATCCTCATATTTTATAAGTATTTTTTCAAAAACAAATGAATCATATACACTTACCATACCCACTACCACAAAATTGGCCTTGGAAATTGCCACTACATTTACACGATGAAGGAGTACAGGCCGAAAAAACGGTGGAAATAGAAATTAAACAACAAACAAGAAATACAAGATATTTGAAGGTCATATCGAGATTAAGAGAAATTAGTTAAAAATAAATCTCCAAATATATAAAATAAAAATTTAAAAAGCAGATAATAATAATTGTGAGCAGTATATTTGATAGTAATGAAAGGAGTTAGTGTTTACAACTGTTATATTTAGAAATAATATGAAAAAATTATGCAATATATCAAATTTTTACTATTAAGTATTGGATGTGTATTTTTGTCTACCAAGAAAATAAGAGTTCCTTATATACATTTAAATTATATAATAATCGTCAAATTCAGTCACATATTCCATTTCCTATGAGAATAGACTACGAAATATTTAAACTATCCCTTTTGATGCCTTTAACATTCATTTACATGACAGAATTCGTCTTTGGAATCTCTTAATGGTTTAAATAAAGGCTAAAAATAACATTATAAAATTCATTAAAGTATTAAACCTAATGAATATATCATTCATAATTCTAAAAATCACAGAATAAAGATTTGTTTAATTCATTTTTTTAATAACTGTCCATTTTTCACGAAAATTCCCTATAACTGTGCATCAAATATGGTCTAATATCTGTTTTTGATTACATCATACTTCATTAATACAATAATTCTAACCCAAATTACGTAATTACTTGATAATCATGCGTACGTAAAAGAAATTTTAAATCAATCTTTCATCATTGACATAAATATAAGTATAATTAATGTGAGGGGTTGGTCCTAACGCAGCAGACGTATTGATCAAATTAATTAACGTAAATTTTATAAATAAATCTATAATAAAAAACTTTAATACTTGGCCCTAAAATCATTAAATTAAAAAAAACTGACCCATTATAAAATATTGTAAATATTTTGTATGAGTCTGTCTTTTAATTTAAGGATCAAATATTATTATAATTATTGGCGGTGTGTCAGTCTTTTGACTAAGAAACATTGTAAATGAACGTTCAACTTTAGGGTCAAGAATATTTTTAGCTTTATTATTAACTATTAGTTAAATTTCGTACAAAGAATCTCCAGATACTCAAGAATAAGTATCTGAAGTTTTAAGCAACTTTTATATTAAACTTTGAAGAAAAATTAAAACTATTTTATAAAATTTATATATAAAATTTAGGTAATTTGATCAATAAGCATGCAAATCTAATATATAAACTCTCAACATGCCGGCTGACTACTACGTAAGATTATTAATTGATCTCGCCTCATCACAATTAATATTTGAGTGATGAAAAGGGAAAACCTGTAAATCATTTCACTCATTGAGTGAGATGATTTACAGGTTTTCCCTTTTCGTCACTCATTTGTTATAGATTTTCATAATTAATATGGCGTTAACTGCAGCATAGCGGGCTTTATTATGATTGGCCGATTTTGTAGATCATCTTATCATAATAAAGTCTTATTAAAGTAATGACTTTCTGTCACAAGATTGAATTCGGAGCCACGAAAACAAATTCGGAGAAGGTAAGACAAAAAAAATTAGAAAGCTTACATCTTACTTTATACACTAGTAAAGTAATTCGGTAATCCGCGAAGTAATTCGGAAGTTAGATGAGAGGTATGTTTAGGCGTTTCAATTTAACCAATAGGCATATATATAATCTATTAAGCTTAGTAAATTACGATTTTTTTCAGAAGTTTACGTCGCTTTTCTAACAACGCTAATCTATTTTATTTGTACTTTACTTTTTATTTTAAAGACAGATATATACTACTAGTAAAATTAATTAGTGGCACGAAACAATGAAATGAGCTTATAGATTTTATAGAAGATTAAGACATAGCTTTATGTCTAAGTTTTTTAATTTAGAATTGAGGTTAAAGTTCGTCTGGTGTTAATTAACTAGTATAGTCAACTCTTTCTATAACGAACTGACGGCTCTGGAAGAAAAAAAAGTTCGCTATAGAAAATTACTATGATTTTTTAAGGACCCATTGCCCTTCCTATACCGAACTATAAAAATTTTAAAATTTCGAGTTCGTTATATAGAGGTTCGTTATATCCAGAGTCAACTGTATTACAGTATATAGATAAAATTGGTTTATAATTTTTTGTTAGTTTTTTGAGTATTCTGTGTCTTTTATTTTATTTTGTTTTCGTTTTCTATTTTTTTTTTTTTACGATTTTTTGATGATATTTTTTATTAATTTGTACAATGGTATTTTTTTACGAGATCTTGTCTTATAAGATTCTGGAATGATGGCCTAATGCTTTAGCTTCTATGATTTCGTAGTAATTCATTTTATTAATGCCAATTTGATTTCATATAAGTATTTAATCATTAATCTTGTAATTAGTTTCGAATAAATTGATTTAAATTAACCAATAATATTTTTGTAATGTCACGGGATGATCTTCAAAAATCAGCCAATTAAAACGAAAGCCCGCTATGCTGTTAACTGCTGCAATTATAATAATTGTACTTAAAATATTTTAATTTAGTGAGTATAAAATTAATTAATCAGATCACTTTAAATAAAATGAGCTATTCAATTTATTAATATTGCTCTGTCAAAATTCTTGATCCATCTTGAAGTTTGTACATTTGGTCCAATTTTTAACTAAAAATCTAAAATTCATCTAATTTTTCAGGGACCTATCAAGTATATTAGCACGTAACAGGTTCAGATTTACAATGAGAATAACTCTGATGACCAGCACTAACCAGTGTCTGAAATTGGGTTGCGGAGCTTACGGACTGCAAATAATTTATAAGTTTCCGCAACTAAAATCTGAAATGAATATGCTGGTCCGTAAATAAATTTTGTAAATTTCATGTAGATATGTTAGAATTTACATATAAATACATTCATATGCGCGACTAAACTCATATCATCCGCAAGTAAAATTTTTTATTTAGTTGTGACCCGCAACTAAATTAAAAATTGAATTTCAGACACTGGTATTAACCTTAACTGCATAGCATGGCAGCATTATAGTTCAGGTTAGTGTTAGAATATGGCAAAATTAGGGAATTGGATCATGTATATGATGTGTCAGTAGTTATCCCTTTATAATAGGTACGTACAAACCATGTGAATCGGTACGTGTCAATTGATTTTAGTCAAATTATGCGATTTATGCAATTGGTTATATTTAAATTATGTTTTTAATTATGCATTATATCATTAATTATATAAAAAATATATTTTTGTTAAATTATTGATTATTAATATTAATTATAATTTGATTAAAATATATATTTAACAGTTCATTATTTTAGAAGAAAGTATATGTCATTAATCTGTTAAACTATTTTTATAAAAAATATATTTGCAATATTATAGCGTTATGGCTTTATAGTACATGTAGTTATAAGAATGGTATATCAAAATTGATGCAATATATAAATTAAAACAAACAATATTTATTTTATTTAATTTTAGAGTAAAAGTAAAAGTTAGAAGTTAAGATTAGGCAAAGCTTATAATAAAATTTTCTAGAAATTTTTTTGTTAAAATTTGAAAGAATATTTTTATAAATAAAATTTTGAGTTACAATCAGTTTTTTATTATCCAAAATAAATTTTTATGTCATAATTTGTTTTTTTAAACTTGATGGTATGCATCAATTTTTATTCATTTCTAATAGGTTGAGAAGGTCTTTATACATATTTTTACAATGTTATTTTATTACCTAATTTAGGTTATACCAGGAACGGAGTTTGTACAACGTACAACGTAGTGTATGGTTTACAGGCAAGTTAATGTGTCTGTGCGATTCT